GGGGTTGGCTCAGCGGGGACTCACTGTGTGATACAGCTAAAAGTTCCTCTTAAAAGGGATAATCAATATAAAGAGGGAGTTTGGCAAGAATGATCCTTGCTTTAATGGTTATGAATGAGTAGGTCAGAGTAAAAATGCCCTGCAGCCTCATAAAATGCAGGAGCAGTGTGTTGCCTCACCCAAGAGCCCATCTAGGACACCTGTATCATCTCTGAGCCTTGCAGGATCTAGCAATGCCCAGCTGGGCTGCTCTGGTTTGCAGCAAGGAAGCAGCACATAGACCCTTCTCGAACTGAACTGGGCGTGTTGGAATGTATCTAATACAGGGGGTCTGGAGCAGCAACTCCAACTGTGCTTTCTCATGCAGCCTGGAGAACTGTGGCATAACCAGCGACAGCTGTCGGGACATCAGCGCTGTTCTCAGTAACAAGTCATCACTGATGGATCTCTCTGTGGGGGATAACAAGATTGGGGACTCCGGGCTGGCTCTGCTTTGCCAAGGACTGATGCATCCTAACTGCAGAATCCAGAAGCTGTGGTAAGGGTGGGAAGAGGTTTCTTAAATCCCTTGTGCAGCACCCAGGCTTTCAGGGTTGTGCTGCTGGTTTGCTCCTAAGCGGAAACTGTCTCAGTTACCCCCTGCCCTCAGCTGCAGATTAGTTCCTTCTCAAAACTGGGTGGAGGACACCATGAGCAAGGGGGGCCACGCTGAAATGGCTTGGATCAGATTCTGGGAAGAGTGCAAGTGGAAGTTTGCATTGTCTTGGCTTCCTGTTGTCTGTCTACTAGAATTGCATGTTTTTTTGTTTTTTTTTTATGTTAAAAACAGAGCTTTTCCTGCAACAGTTGGAAAGTAAGGAGAAAGTTGTGTGGTATGATGCATGAATGGGTTTTGTAAAGGATAGAAGAAAACGAGATGATGTAACCAGAAATTCAGACTACTAAAATAGGATTCTGTTTTCTAATCTAAGTCATTCTTGGGAGAAAATAGTGTGTTTTTCTTCCCTGCAGGTTATGGGACTGTGATCTCACCAGTGCTAGCTGTAAAGATCTCTCCAGACTCATCAGTACAAAAGAGACCCTCACAGAGATCAGTCTAATAGACAATAACCTGAGAGACTCAGGGATGGAAATGCTGTGTCAGGCGCTCAAGGATCCCAAATCTAAACTTCAGGAGCTATGGTGAGCTGCTGTCAAGTTTCACATATCCACTGCCTTCTTTGGAGGCTACACTGAAGAAAGATGTAAGTGAAGTAACGCCCACCAGATAGATGCTCAGTTGCAGTGGTTCCATAAACAACTTGTGCTGGTTGTTAATGAAAGGATTTATAGAGTTGAAGAGGGTTTTTACGGACTTACAGACTTAAAAGGGATTTGTATTTCTAAACTCGTAGACACTTTGAAGATCTGCCCCATAGTCCTATTAATAGGAGACCAAACATCATTTGTAGAGCCTCTAATATATTTTATCGTGCAACAAGTGTCAGCTAAGAGACTTTTTAAGTTTGAAAGGCCTGATGTAATAGAAAATTGAGTGCTGTGATCAAATATTTCAGGTTCTGCACTGGATCTAATCTCTCTCACTGATCAGCCAAAAGAAAGCTCTAGTGACATAAACAGCTCTCAGCATCTTATCCTCGTGACTGTGTTACCCTTTAGGCTGGGATGGATGGTCTGGTGGCCACGAGAGGAAATTTGTTCTTTCACTTAGAAACTGAACAAGCAACACTTGAACTTCTCTACTTTGCAAATTCAGGTCCTGCCCCCGTTGGGTTCTTCCCCTACACTGGAGGCTTGGAAGTCAACCTCAGGAGTGCATGGTGGAGCCGAGAGTGACTGTTAGACCAGTGTGCTTCATCTTTGACTGTCCCTGTTCTTTATGGGCAGGTGGCTTTCCTAGGTGCATGCTCCAAGACAGACATCCCACATATAAAGAGTGGGAGAGGTGCTGCTTAAAAAGAATGGAGCAGATGGGGGTTAAGGGGAGCACAGTGATTATGGGAAAACTCTGGTTCCTCTGTTCCCACTGTCTGGGATCCTGCCAGGCAAATGTAGAGAAGTGAATGGTGCCTGATGCTCTCTAGATCTCCCACCTAGATCTCATGTCACTTTTGCCTTGTAGGGTTAGGGAGTGCGGGCTCACAACTGCTTGCTGCAAGATTGTCAGCTCTGCTCTCACCACCAACAAGCACCTGAAAGTACTGCACATGGGTGAGAACAAGTTGGGAGACGCAGGTGTTGAACTCCTGTGTGAAGGGCTGATGCACCCCAACTGCAACATCCAGTCCCTATGGTAAGGTGCACCCTCAGAAGTCACTTCTCTCTTGCTGTGTTACCCTTCCAAGACTGTGCAGAGAGAGACAGCAGTAGGTGTTAGTGTGGTATTTTTTTGTTTTGTTCATTATGAAATAATTCATGCCACAAGCTGATGTTTAATTAGTCCAAGAGTAAGTCAGTGGAAACCACAGCTGCTTCCACGTATTCTGTCACTCATGGTCTCGAAAGTACAGGCTGACACCTGTGTGACAGTGCATTCATAGCTGTCCACAGGTGCTGTCCCAGGTGCAGAACTGAAAGTTCATGGCACAGTGTACCTGGGACAAAGAGTGGGGAGGCTGGAGTGATCTTGCTTTGCTGTGGGAGCCACGCACTGTGGAGCTTCTGGTGCCCTTCTCCAAACTCACGTGCAGGGCCTCTCTCAGGTGGGACGCTGAGATGGAGGAACTGCTGGCCCAGGTGTGGTGTGTTTATTCTCGTGCCTGCCAGTCGCAGTGCAAAGCCTGCCTGAATTCACCTATCCCCACAGTCCCTATGGGTGCAAGCACAAGTGCTCATCCAACCTCACTGGTAGAAGTAGAAGGCCATCTGGAGCGTCACCTCCAGCCCTGTGGTGGAATTCCCTTTCTCCATCTGCCTGTCCCTTCCCAGGAGGGCACTGAGCTCTGGACTGTGTGATGCTCAGAGCACCTCAGCGCTTGCTTTCTCCAGGCCATTGGACAGAGGCCGGAGCTGTGCTCCGATGCCCAACTCTTGCAGTGAGTGAGTTGAGCCAATGGGTTGTGGAAAGCATAACTAAGACTAGATGTCTCTTCCAGAAAGATATGTTTGCTGACCAGTTAAAGCTCCTCAATTGAGAGGTCTCAATTGCCCTTTTAAGGGCAGGGGTTTTTGCATGATTGTTGCAAGTCTCAAATAGTACTCACATAGTACTAAACTTTAGAGACGATTTGTGATCACTTTAAACCAAAAAGAAGATGATGCATGGTGTTGAAGTTGGGAATATCTTCTATGGGTTCCTTCTGCCCGTGTAGCCACACATTGTTAAGGTTTAGGGAGGACTTCTGGGTGTTGAGCAGTCACCATGAGGGGGGCTGTCTCTGTGCCGAGACCACGGGCCAGCCCCTGCTGGTATCTCAGGGCTGTCAGCTTCACAGGGATTGCTGCTCCATGCTAGGGATGTCTGTGTCTGCTGTCTGAGGGTGGGCTGCTGGTCCCTGGAGCCGTGGCTCACTGCAGTGTCCTCTCCCTGCTCTCCCTGCAGGCTGGGTAACTGCGATCTGACAGCAGCCTGCTGTGCCAGCCTTGCCACCGTCATGACCACCAAGCAGTGCCTTACCGAGCTGGACCTGAGCTACAACCCTCTGGAAGACGAAGGCATCAGGAAGATCTGTGAAGCCTTGAGGAATCCCAGCTGCAACGTGCAGCAGTTAATGTGAGACATGTTTGTGGCCCTGCTTGTGTTTCTCCTGGCAGGTGGTGAACTCAGTGATCTGGGAGGCTGTGGGGAGAGGGCCACAAGCACTGGCTCTCTGGGAATTGCACCTGAGGGCAACTAGTGACTGGGGGGGATTCAAATGCCATCTGCCTGTCCAAGTGACATGACCACAGTGCCTCGATCTGCTTTGGTCCACAGGGCCAAAGAACAAGGAGAAGGTGGTGCTGGGTGAGAGAGTAGTAGGGCTCTGGGTTGTAAAGCATGTTTTTGGCTGTTGGGCCAGACTCAAACCTAGATGGGACCCTTCCTGTTATATGATCTTCCCATACTGGCCATCTGTGCATCTTTCCTTAACAGGAGGATGCTCACTAAACCTTGCTTACCTTTTTGTTTTGGTGTAGTTTGTATGACATTTTGTGGAGTCCTGAAGTGGATGATGAACTGAGAGCCTTGGAAGACTCCAAGCCTGAAGTGAAGATCATTTCATGAGTGGTGACTGCCTGCAAAACAACGTCAAAGCAACATCCTCTTCTTAATCTGAACTTTCCATACGTGAAGCTAATTAACTTAATAGAGAATTTTCTTGTACCAAAACCATTTTTGGATTCCCTGAGTGGGTGTCTGGGGAGCTGATCGTCTCCTGTGCATCTCTGGATGTACTAACTCTGAGGCTGATGAAAGCTGCAGCATCACTATCCTTGAAATAAACAATTACTGTCTTATAGAAGTGGGTCTCTAGCCTTTAGGAGCTCTTTAATCCTATAATCCCTTCTAATGAATTAGTTGGGCTTTAAAGAGAGCTCTTTTCCCAAGGCAAGAGAACTACCCACTGTATTGTTACTGGGTGGTGCTTTTGATAGGTCTCTGGGGAAGGCTCTCAAAAAAATGACATGTTTTTTAATCTAAAATGGAGTTCTCCCCTGTCTTTCCCTGAAAGAGTTATTGGAAAAGCAGTGGTGGCCAAGGCACTAGAGAAAAAAGAAACGAGCAGCTGTTCAGCTGTGTAATGTCAAAATTGGTGTCCTTTGAAAAGTGATTTTCCTGCAAACAAAAGATGCTGTGTGCATTCCTGCTAGTATGGGAAATGATTAAATGATTGATGTGTTTGCTCTGGCAAAGAGTGGTTCTACAGGAACTTTATACTTAATTTTTCTACTTATAAAAATAAAATATATCTGTATATTTCTCCTTTAAGACCAATCTAATCACTTCTGAATTACAAACCTTGTTTTACTTGTTTGGTTTTGGTAAGTCTCTGAAATACATCAGAAGATCTTAATCAAGGCCTCAGGTAGACAACAAGCCTAGAAGACATTCCAGTTTTCAAGGGATGCTGACTGGCTTTTCATGCCCAGTCAGAGTTTTAATAAACCCTGTTCCAAGGATAAATGCATCTGCTGCATGCCTAAAACACAAAAGAATGAACACAGTTTTAAAAATGTAGAAGGAGAACCTGGCATTGCCCTGGGGTGGCTTTGCAGGAAGAATGCTGAAAAAATCCCATTCCCCAACATTTCTTTCTGGTCACTTGGTGTTTCATTCACTTGCAAGTCCTGCATGGGCACCCAAGTTCACAGAATATGTTGAGTTGGAAGGGACCCATCAGGATCATCGAGTCCAACTCTTGGCCCTGTGCAGGACACCCCAAGAATCACACCACGTGCCTGAGAGCAATCCTCTGGGCTTTGGCTTCTGGTGCTCATCTATTCATCATGTAGAGGCTGTAACTGGCTTTTCTTTGACCTAAAATACTTGAGCATTGTTTCTACAACAGCCTTCACAAACCTCAAATGGTACCTGTGAAATAGTTTAATTAATAGTCTTCAGGCAGGTGTGAAGGATAGGATTTGGTTTTTTCCTCATGGCATGTCTCTTGATGCTGCCCAAAATGCTAAAAACCCACTCCTTTTTGCTTTGGTCTTCCCTGTGAATAAAAACTTACCCATTTTAAGGAGCTCATAAATAGGCTTTCCAGTTCATGGTCTTTCCTGGACTTGGCATGCACAGGTGCACGGATTCGTTTCAGGCTGGGGAAGAAGACAGGGCTGCAGAGGGGAAAGAGAAAAGTAGGGGGAGCCAGAAAAATTAAGCATCTGCTTGAGTGTAAAGACAGCCCTTTAAAAAGACACAGCAAATACTAGAAATGGATTTCTGAGAGTGCCTGGTATGGTGGATGGGAAAGATGTCTGAGAGGGAAGCAGAGGTGCTCCTGGGCTGCTCCCAAAGCAGTTTGTGGTCTGGCAGATTGAAGGTGAGGTGGTTTGCAGGCAAATCCTCCTTTGGCCCCATCTAGTGTGCAGGATGGGCTAAGGACTGCATCATCCGAAGTCAAACCCTGGCTAAACTAGCCCGCAGCCGGCACTCGTGGTTCGCAGGACACACTCCCTGCAGTGTTTGCTGTGCTGGCTACCCAGGGGGGGCACTCTACCCTCACACTGCAGCACAGGGCACCATTGTGCTGCTGTCTGTCCTCACTGCAATGCCTGGAAAGCGCCTCCATCCTCCACTGCAGGCAGAGGAGCACTGGGAAGGAGTCTGCTGCCATGGCCACTCTGACAGTGTGCTCCCACCTGGGTATAAACCCCATGCCTGCCTTGGGTTCCAGCGTGGTTCTGCATTTCCTCCAAGAACACAGAATTTGGAAAGGTCTCTGCAGCACATGCTACATGTCCAGCTGCCAGTTTCGTCAAGAAAAACCACAGGAGCTATATTTTGCCACCTCATGAGCTCAGAGCATCTCAGGCCAGGACAGCCCACCAGAGCTCTGCAGGTCCCCCCAGGATGGCGAGTAAAAAACAGGTATAAATCCCCGGATCCAGGAGCAAGAGACATTTGCACTCATAAACAAGACTCAAGCAAGGATTTCTGCTCCTAAAAACTCATTTGCTTTTATTCACCTGTTAGTTGGTCCAACTCACTGCCCTGGCAAGCCTTGTCACATCAGTGAACTCGGGGAGTTGAAAGAGAGAAATTTGCTGCTTCTGCATTTTAGACTTGTGGGCTGTCACCATTTTAAGCTAAAAGGAGTAGTCAGTAATTGAGTCACAAACCTTTCACATGGACTAGACAGGAGGCTGGCAGGCAAAGCTTGCTCATACCAAGATCACAGCAGGAGCACTTGCAGTTCCTGGGACATTGCAGTCACATTCTGGTTCTCAGTCAGGGCAAATGCTTGGATCCCCACGGTTCAGTGGTTTGTAAGTACTGACTTTCTACTAGCAAGGGCTGAGTTTCACCTAGTGTAATGAAGCTTAAAGACAGAATTATACAGCCAAAGTAGAAGATTAAGTAATACGAGTGTGACTTCCAGTTTAAGCAAATACTAGAACCTTAAAAAACACACCCCAGAGATCTTAAATCCAGAGAAAACAAGTCTGTATTTTAGATCTCAGTAACAGCAACAGTGGTTTAGAGTGTGGTAAAACTTCGGTTTTCTGCTAGTAGTTTAGGATTCTAACAAAAATTTAATTTTTCCCTCATCACAGCACATGATCACAAACAGTGAGGTCACAGTGTTCCAGTTAATGTTGCCAGAGCAGTTAAGCAAACATTGCTGTCCTTACAAACAGGTTATATCCCAAGCAAACCTCCTACTTGCTTTGGAAGATCATCAAATCACAGCTGCCCTGGCATCCCTGACAACTCTCTTGCTGCCTGGGCTTTTTGGGAAGGAGCTCCAGCACAGCAAGGCTCCAGGCACCAGCTTCAAATGATAGTGATGCTAACAGCAATTTCAGTGCTCCAGTTGAATCTGAAAGGGGAAATCAAGCCAGCTGTGTTTGAAGAGTTAACCACACACAGCTCCCCAGTTTGAAAACAGCATTTGCCGAGTCATTCCCAAGCCTCTACTAAAACAGTCTGAAAAGGAATTACTTCTTACCTGAATTTCCCTTTAGCACAGCAAATGATTTTCAGTTATCATTTCCAACATACCTCCTCCTTTCTGTGTGCTTATTTCCTCAGTCACCCCTTCCTCCCCAGTACCTCCTTTTCATTTCATCTCTTTTACTAATGGGGAAAACACACACACACACACAAAAAAAGAACAAAAAAACCCCCAAAACTAAACCCTACTAAGGAGGAAAGTCCCTCTCCTCATAAAGTAAGAAAAGGTTTGATCTACTTTACCCATTCCCCTGCTCACAGCTGAGCATGGGCATCTTGCATTTCTCCTCCTGGGGCACAGCATCACAGACCTCTCCTTCCTTACTTCTCCCACTCGTCTGGCACTCACACCACAAACACTAGCCGGTCAAGTGCACTCCCAGGTTGGCAAGGACTTACAAATTGACAGCTTGATGAATATGTGAGATAAAACTTGCCTCCCTCAGATAAAGCCAGCTGCATGCACCACGAGAGGAAACGCAGCCCCCAGCAGGAGGAAGAAAGTGGGCTGGGTCAGCTGACTGCACAGATGATAAGCCTTTCCAAGCTAGAGGGCAAATTGGAGGCACATGGGATGCAGAACTGTGTAGCTGGGGGGATGGAAACTTTAACTGGCCAATATTCTGTCAGAGCCTATCTGGTTTGCAATTAGAGGCAGGTATGCAGTGGGAGAGGTGAATTGTTGGCAGTTCCTCAAGCCCTTGAAGACGTTCCAGAGCAGACACTCAGAAAGTCCCAAGACAGGCCGTGCTGCCATCAGCCTGGCACGCTGCAGCCCATAATATCCTCAGAGGGAAATGAGGTACCAGCACAGCTGTCATTTGCACAGGTACCCTACAAGCAACTCATGCAAATCCTCCAGTGCTGCTCACTGTTTCCTACCTCCCTGGTAATTATCACATCCTAAGAACCACAGCGTGCCATCGGGACACTGAATAGACTCAGTGCACCCTGCACTGCCAGCACTTCCCACCCCAACATCTCTATGCTCCAGGTATTGCTTTTGCCTTGTTCCACACTTCACTTAGACTCTTAGTTCAGACCCTAATTATGCTTTGCAGATGATTAAAGCACCTCTGCTTCTGCATACAGAAGTACTCTGCAGGCCATATTGTAGTTGTCTGGGAAACACTGCCTGCCTCCATGACTTGCAGGTGCAGCTTAGCTAATTGAGCTCCTGGTAGCTGGGTTACATGTGTCAGCTCATCTCTTGCCTGCCGTAATCGCAAACCAGGTCGTGAGGCTGCACTTGGAGATAATTAGAATATAAAGCACCAAAGAGTTCTCTCCATGGCACTTCCCACGAAGAGGGAAAATAAGACTGTTTTGTTTGCCTCTGACTGAACTGAGGAGCTGCTGCTTTCTTCTCCCAGGGGATCTGTTCCCCACTCTGTGCCGTGGGATGCAAAGCAAATATAGATTAGACATGCTACGTGGCATGCAGCCGTGGCTGCTAACTCCAGCAGGATCAAAGATAGCTATAATCCCAACAAGGTGGGTTAAAGGCAGCTAATGAATTCTCTGGGGAAATAGTCTGGTTGGATTTGGATGACTTGATAGAAAGCAGATAGAGCTTCCAAGGCTGGAGAGACCAAATGGTACTGATATGAGGCTTCTCAGGGAAATTCATCCAAGCCCAGGTGGGATAAGGAGTGAAAACCAGGTGAGGGAGAAAGGAAAGCGCTGGAGGATGGTGTTCTATGTCCTTTCTCGCCACCCTCCACAGCTCTTGGCCCTATAATCTCCATGTAATTTAACACCGTCTTCTGAGAGAACCATTCCTGCTTTTCAGATGGTTCATTGCCTTTAAGTGTTTAAAGCCTCTTTAGGCTCCTGGATTTTATGCCTGGCAACCCTGGAAGGGTGTAGGATGACATTAGCTGAGACTGTGGATCTAGATCCAACAGTGTGTGCAAACATTTCCCATTCACTGTTGGCATGCAGCTCCTACAGTCTCAGCTCCAACAGCCACAGGACACACTTGTAAAAAGACAAGAAAAAAAAAAAAAGGATCTGATTGCTTTGGCTAGAGAAAGAACAGTTAAAACAACTGCATAGCAAAAGCAGATGAAAAGCACATATTCTTTGCCCACTCATTCACCCTGTGCCCATAGAGGGCTTGCAGAGCTGGGAGGACTTCATGTGTCAGTATTGGATTGGTTTCATCAAGAGAAGCAAAGGGTTATAATTACTCTCAAGCATCTAGAAGCTCAGCCTTTCTCCTTTGTGTCCTGCCCAGTGCCTTCTGGGACTCTCCTGGGAGCTGCAAGGTAGCTTTATGTGGGGCAGCTCTCACTGTGACCTCGATGGCTGGATTTTCCAAGCAGGCCCTTGGAACACCAGCTCTCCGGTGTTTTGCTGGAGTCAATGAAGCAGCAGCCTCTCCACCTTGTTCCTTCCCATGTATGCCCTGTTCTGAGCCAGCTTCACCAATATTAGCTCCTGTCTTGCTGAGCAGGGTGGTAACTTATTTTTCTAGTACAGCAAACCAACTTCTTACCACATCAGTGGCACTGTGGCATGTGTATGATGACCTGCTTTTACACCATTTCTGAAGGTTTTTGTTTAAGTGCCCAGTGTTGAGTTAGGCACGTGGGAGGAACTGTGAAGGGGATTCTCTTGGTTTTGCAGGGAAATACAATGATGTTCCCAGCATTCAGGAGCAGGTTCTTAAAAGTAACTTCTCTTGGGTGCATGACAATGAGTTAATGAGTTTGAAAATTAGAGTGTCCACTGCCCACTGTGGACTTTGGAGGCTTTTCTAGGCTGAGCCAGTCAGTGCATGGGTCTCCTGTCCTCCCTTTCTCACTCATGCCCTTACAAGGGAGCAGGCAAGACTACTCTGCCTTCAGGATGTTATCATAGGAGGATTTTAGAGTCTAGGTGGTAATGCCAATGTGTCTTTGGTTCACAAATTCTCTCCCCATCCTGAGATCCAACTTGGCAGAAATGTGCTATTCCCCTCACTGATGAGATGGTACCCTCACTCAATTGCTGTTTCCCTTCCTCAAGACAGACATCCAACACGTCAGCCTCTCTGCAGTTGTGTGAGCTGAGACCACACCCCTGGATCGCAGATAAAATGAAATAAAATGAAACAAAATAAATTATCTCTTCCCACTTGCTTCTTACTCCTCTTCCCTCCTCAGCTGTGCAAGGTCACAAGCTGTGACCATGCCTCATCCCACGTCTCTTGTCCAGAGGCATCAGGCCCAAGAGCCATGTGAACACAGCTTGCCAGACTGCTCCAAAATGCATTTTTATTGTAAGCAGGTCACAAGGCTGTCCCAGAAAGTCTAAACCATATGGTGTTCACACCAGGTGGTCAGTGCCAGCACCTGCAGGATGGCAGTGTTAACACTGGACTCTTGGCAGGTCCCACTAACAAAGTCTTGCTGGTGACAGCAACGTCCCTGCAGCAAGAGAGGCTGAGCGAGAGTGTAAGATCCACTGTCTTCCTACCCATGCCTCAAGTGCTGGGGGAAGAAACACTTCCCACTGAACTGGGATCTTTTCCAGCTGGAATAACCCAGGACATACCTATGCACAAACTAAAGCAAATGTAAATGTAAGACCATGCAACAGCAATTTCTTCCTCCACTGCACTAATTTTTGGGGTACCCTATCTAAACATTCTGCTTTTCAGAGATATGATCCTCAGAAGTTTTTAAACTCTAGCCTCTCTAAAGGCTTTCACAAGGTATCAAATAAAAATCCCACTCCAAGACCCTCATAATCATATCCAAATGTCATCATTTTCAGAAACCCCACAGAGTCAAGCAATGGACTGAGTGACAGTCTGGTAGGAAAAAAAAAAAAAAACAAACCCAAAACCTGTGGCATGAATATACACAAAGAGCGAGACTCTCCATCTGAAAGGAAAGGAGGGAGAAGCAAAGTAGAATAGAATAACCTAGAACAGAATAGAATGAAACATAACACAATATATTGGATATAAAATATTGCACTTCTACTTATACCTGTGTAATATAAAATAACACTCTCTCACTTCAACAGAAGCTCTTCACATGTGTGCACCAGGGCCACACATCCCCTCATCCCTATTTCTGTAGCAGGACTAGACAGTCACAGAGACACACAGGGGGGAAGTGGGAAGCAAAGTACTGGTACATCAGGTCAGCAGCTGGCCCCACTGCTGTGCTTTTGCAGGTACTGCAGCCCCCCCACAGCACCTGTGCAAGCAGTTCCCATCCTCCATTGCCCCCCAGCCTCCCAGAGGGTACCAGAAGTAGCCTGGGTAAGTTCTGGATGGCGAATGCCAATTTTGACCTTTCACACGTAGGGCTGCTGGGATGCTCCAGCTCTTCAGGCTGCAAACAAAACACAGCAGAGACATACCACAGTGTCTGACAGTGACCTTGGGTTTTGTTTCCTTGTGTGTTAAGGAGATCCACAGAGCTTGGGAAGTACGAGGCTGAGGGAAGTGAAAACACTGGCAGAGCATTTCCTGGGGAAACTGTTGCAAAAACTCTCACCTGATCAAAAGTTTGACTTCTACTTGCTTCTCCTTTGTCTGTCTCCTAAATTTTCACTGAAAAAGAAACAATCTCAAACCCTTCCTGTCCTTTCTCCTTCCCTTATGACTGACGAGATCAAGTTTCTTCTCCGCCTCCAGCCTGTCTCTCTGGATGTGGTTTCCAGTAAAATTAATTCCTCAGGTTCCTGGTGACCTTCCTGCAGCTGGCCAGGGCTCACTGGGGAGGAGGAAGGCCAGGCAGTGAGCCCTGCAAAGGGGGGAGAGCCAGCTCAGCAACAGGAGAGAGGAGACAGCACCAAAATACCATCAGCAGCTGCTAAGTACAAACTGGTTATTAGAGGGTTGCAGCTGCTCCTCTCTAATTAAGAGAAGAGCCAATGCCAGAAAGAAAAAGGGGGGTTAAAGTCTGAAAGAGCCCATCCTGCATGGCTAGGGATGAGGGAAGCAGTGTGTGCTTGCTTTCCATGCTGCAGCTCAGCTGTTGGACTCTCAAGTGAGGATAGGTGTTCCCCTGTTTCTTCCCACAGTCTGAACCAGGACTAGATGTCCATGCTGTGCCAGAGAACCAACCTACCAGGGGTGCTGGCTGTACCATACAAGCCCTCACAAGCTCCACTTGCTCTACTGCAAAGGCACAGGTCT